ATACATTTCTTTGGGCTGACTTCTATATTTAACTGGAACCTATAGGCTTTTGTCACGAGGGGACTACGATGGGGCAAATGCACTAAATCAGAATCACGAATCATGCAAATAAATGTCTACAATTTTAAATGACCGTCAGAATTCTTGGGTTAGGGAACATTTCTCTCACTTTTAGATAAGTATTTTCCTGATGAGTGATTGTTCACTATCTACCTAAGTGGAATATTTCCTTTAGCAAGTTCATGCATGCATACAGAAGTACTAAAACCTTGATCTGTCATCAGAATCAATGCAGAAATGAGTTAATTCCTTCACTGTTCCACAAAAGAAATCAGCTTTCATTATCCGTACGAATCAATTGCAATCATAAGACTATTCATATCATTAATTCAGTTTGGAGTTTCTCGATGAGTGTCTTAGCTTGCTCACTCCCTAATTCAATTTGTTTAGCTTCCTATTTAACTATTTCATACACTGCATCTGAAAGTAATTTACAGACTCTAATGCTTATTGCATTAGATACGCTTCAGTCGCAGGCTAACTTAATAATTATTCAAAATAATTTAAGAGAAGCTATTCATAGCGTACCAAAAACAATAATATGGTTGATCTCAAATAAATTAATTTCCAAGGGATATCAATAGCTGCAGATTATCCGGTGTTACAATACGTCAGAAAACCGTTAAGAAGAATTCGAGAATATTCAAATTTGTCATCTAGTGAATCCTTTTCATGTTGTTTTAAACCTTATTCTGTATTTTTAGAGGTTAAAATTCTGCCGCATTTATCGAGGAGCTAGATTTTTATACAGATGAGATTAGAGATTCAAGATTAATCTGGGTGGTAAGATTTGGTAGTGGAATGATTAATGTACATTTTGTTTAAATTTCCGTTTCGGCGGATTTTCCAAGTATTACTCTGAATACAAAAATGAATGACCTTCATAAGTAAGAGGATAGCAGAGTACTCCTTAAATTTTACTTTTACTTTCCAAAAGGCTTCTTAGCCTAACCAAGTGTTCATAAAAATTTACGGTCATTAGACAGATCATTTGTTTAACAACCGACAGCAGAGAGTTTCAAATACTTGAATGTAATTCTTCGTGGATTTTCACAGGACAGAACCAAAACTTTACTTATCTCATATAACAGCGGTAATTTCAAAAAAGTTGAAAATACTTTCCATGTATCAACCTTTTTCTTATTCAGTATTCATATGTGTTGTATTTTTCATCAGTTTGTTTGTAAGAAGATCTTGCATAACTAATGAGGTGGAAAGTGTGACTTCTACCTATGTAAAAATATAAATTTATTTTATATTCAGAGGATAGGACCGGAAGTGAATTTCCATCATACTGAAAAGGTTTGTAACACATTACCTATTTCTTGAATCAGCGATGTAAAAGGGTTGAAGCAATTCTGTTAGTTAGTCTATAACAACGCTACTGATGTATGAATATATACAGGAAAAGAGAGAGCTTTTGGTGCTAGTTGAAGTTAACTGAAGTATGTTGCATAACACGCCACTACGACATATAACTGGTAGAATGTCATCCGTAGAAAAAAACATTTTATTGGAGTTGTATTCTTCTCGTGCCTACAGTTGACGATGATGAGCTTATTTAGAAGAGTTTAAACGATTGCGTAATGTTTGAGTAACTGATTTCCGGTTGAAAAGCATATCTCTAGTCAGCATAAGCTGTGGGAGTTGTTCAACAAGGTATTCGAAAACACAGATCTATATTTTAATATCTCTGTTGTCCCTAAAACAACTTAGACTCTTATTTTTACTTGCCTAATATTCAGTTTATTCTGTACAGAACTACTTTTAAGTAGTTTTTATTGCTAACACAACAAGGCCTAAGTAAGTCGATCCCAAACAGTTGTCACTTGAATAAACATCACGGTACATTCTTTATCATTCCTTTGTTATCATTTATTAGATATTAAAATAACTAAAGGGAACAAAGACTTTTCAAGTTTCAGCCATCAGTTCTCAGCATTTTTGTAGCCAAGTGAAATTAAAAATTAAAAAAAATTGCATGCTCAATACTTTTCAAACTTTTCATCTTGTTGATGAGAAACACAAGCTGATATCTATCGTGTCACTTTTGCAATTTGTAATTCAAAATTTACATCCTTTGTATCATTGATTACTAGACTGTCATTCTCTTAGGACAATTAAATGTTTGGATGGAGATTTTCTTTTGCCTAATTACAGTTAGAGTTGATAACAGTATTTTAAAAATAAAAACACACTGAAACTGTCTATTTGATAAATGCAGTCATTTATTTGATAAGTGCATTATGCGAATAAATGTAAAAAAGACTGAAAGTGGTTGATTGATTTGTAGACTGATACATTAGTATTACTGCATCAGGTGTATGCAATCGTCTGTGAACAAGTGAATCAAAGTTAACGGAATTTTTGTTTATCCTTCCTCTTATTAAAACTTCTTTAGCTATACAGTTTTATTTAGTAGGTTATTAAAGCAAAATAACCATATTAATGGATATCCCAGGAATAAAAGTAGAATGGTATAGCTGCACAAAATAACGATGGATTAATCTTGTGTGGCTGGCTGATTTCCTGATTAACAAACCAATAACTTGTACGCAGTTCCAAGAGAACAAGATGGGGATATCACTTCCCTCCATATTGTTTAAATGTCTTGCTGACGAGTGCCAACAAGCAAGAAACCCAGGTCCACGGCTTCCTGCCTGTTGCCTCCTACCAACTAACTTACATTAGATCCTTTTCAGTCTTTCACGTTTCCCAAATAGAACTTATTCTATGCGAGTTTCTAGCTAGCCAGTTGGTTTGAAACATTTCATGATTGCTAAATCCCTAAATGATTGTCGTCTAATTTTCACTTTTAGGTGGAAAACTGTTACCGGACTAATGATGATCACCCGAATGAGTTAACTGTGGAATTTCGTTAAAACCAGGAAGGTATAATATATACTTTTATGATTATCTCAAACTTTATGGGTGAAATGTAGATACAATAACTTTTTTTTTTAAATTGTTACGTTATTCGTCAATTTTGAGCTTTCACTAAACAGGATTGGAGTCAGACTGGCTTCGTGAAAATCAAGAACTTCTAGTTATAAACTGCACCAGAATTTTTATAACTGAATAAACAACATTCCCTCAGATTATCTTTACGTATACAAATTTCATTCATGGCGAAGGATACTATGAAATCACTTGGTAATGGTTTCATTTGAATCACAATTTAAATTATCAACAGCTATAAAAATGAGTGAATTTAAAGGCTATCCAAGCAGCGACCGAAATAACCAATCAAACTATTCTATGAAAATCTAATTGGTTATTTCTATCGTTTCTAGGATGGCCTTTAAAGTTGCCCATAAAATCCCTATGGACAAAGGAGTGCATGAAATCTAATCAACAAATCCCTGACAGATGTCGAAATTGTAAAGTTTGTCATATCTGTTTGACAATAAGAACACTACAGTGGTTTTGAAGAGGACTGTGAGAACTTTAATATGCCTAGAAGTACACTTCATCAAGTACATCTTGCTTTACAGTTTATACTACACCTTCATTTTGATAAGATTTGACAGTAAACAACAGCATTTACTGTAAGTTATCATTTATGGCAAAATATATTTGCTGACAGGTTAATGTCAGGTTGATATTTTTACATCTACACTTGCCTTTCTTTATCTCTATATTTTAATATCATTTTATTCAGAAGTTTATCGATCGAACCGGTAGCCATCCGTACTGAGTACTTGACTAACTGTAATCTGGTACTACAAGATTCAAGCATACGAAAATCGACTGAGATTTATTTACACCTATTTGCTAAATTTCATTCCTTTTCTCTGTGACTACTTATCACCTTATAATGAATCTGTTGGTAGTTGGCTTGCTTTTATTTGCCCAATACACTTGACCTTAGAAGTACTTACAACTATTGTATGATGACATCTGTGACACTAATGTATTTTACTGTGCATATAAATAGTAAACAGAGTTCCTATTGGCTCAAAACATCCCACTTAAGAAATATGATATTCTCAGATTCGCCTTATTTTCTTATTCATCTCTGTCTATCAGTGTAGTATGCCAAATTAACTTTATTTTCAATGAGCAATGAAGGGAATTTTACAGTCGTAGCCATTTAACAGTTTTTCAAACCTCTTGACAATATTGGTAATGTGATTATCACCCTGGTCAGTTCAGCGGAATGGATCAAACTCTTTGCCCCTAAATTGTTTATGTTTCTAGTACCCAGGAAAAGTGCTTCCTTCCACCTTATTTTCTTGGTTAAGAATATTCCCTGACATGAATTGATTCAAGTACACTTGTTTCTGCTGTTCTCATTTTGACTTCATCCACAAATTTCTTAGGTCAACGATTTTCTTTCAGGCAGCTCTCGATGAGCTGAATTTCATCAGTTTTTCTGATGAACAAAGTTTCTTAGCCATTTGAAATAGCGTCTTAACTAGTCCTTACTGATAACTTATCGAGCAGAAGCTGTTGAAATGAAGATACTGTCCCCTCTGGAGAAGAAACCTGTGTTCGTACATCTAACTTTCAAGGGGGATGAACTTGTAACCGGGTCAATAGGAAAGTAAGAACTACTCTAAGAATAATTTCCCCAGCAGCTAAATTAGTTTCCGCACACAAAAACTGTTCACTACAACAATGGAAACTCGACAGATTTACACCTCATATCATCTCAAATTGTATCAACGAATTCACATGTACACGGCAGAACACATACATTCAAGGGACAGAGAGGAGGGCTGAGACTAGATTTCTTGAACATATTCCAAATAGGTTCAGCTTAAAGGAACCAAAGTGCCCTAGAAGTCCCATTGCTAAATATCTGATGGACATAGGAAACGACGTTTAGATCTCGGAAGAATTTAAAATAACGAAAAAATTCTAAGCTCTTAAGATTTGCAGAAGCGACTGCCAACGGAAAAACTAAATCAAACTTATGCATCCAAAAAGAGGCAGTTGTTAGCCTCCACTTTCCATGGTAGCCATTAATTTGTTTTGTCATTCAGTATAAAACCTTCCAAAATTCTATATTTTCATCTCCTTTTTAAACCCAATTCGCAAAGAATTTCTCCACCAGTTTACCACTTGAACCTGACTGACTTGACCTTAACCCATGAGAATAATCTGATCCTATATTTACATTATTAACTCATCACATACACTTGAGTAATATTTTCTATCCATTCTGATGTCATGTGTGACAGGACGACAATCTGACCATATAAACACAAAATAACTTCGATTTTAGCAATCACAAATTATTTCATTTAAACTTCCTTGGTCCGTATCAGTTCTTTCGTTATGTCATCAATGGACTCTCATCTTGATAAGTGAATTATGTGGATTTTATTTATCTCTCTCTCTATAAATATATATACATATATATATATCTTATGAACTTATAACCAGTATGCAGCTGAAGAGAAGGCGACGAAACACAATGAATTCATTGTATCCTGCTAAACTTGTTGCTCTAGATATGGTAAACTTTCATTTATGCTTATTGTATACATGTGCAGTGTCCTTTGATCTAATACACTTCGTGAATTTTGAAAGACAAACCACCGAAACTTTTACTTCCAAATTGTTTTGCAAAAGCATA